GCTCTTGACCACTGGGGCTACCTCCGACCACTGCCGAGCCTCACAACCTCTAGTACCAGTCATGACATGAGTGCCTGCCTGGATGCAAGCTGGGTGGGTCACCTTTATGAGTGTAGAGAAATATGCAGAATGGAAGCTTTACCCATGATATATACACAGGAAATCTGTATAAAATTGCCTGTTTCTGTATTATTCCTTACTAGGAAAAAGGCCCGTTGTGGAAATAAATACAACGGTATCTAGAAAGAGGCTCTGGGCGGGTGCCCCGGCTTTGGACACTCAGTGTCAATTTGCTGTGGCGACCTCAACAGGGTATAATGACACTGAGTCCACCATTTTCTCCAGAGGACCTGATCTCTGCTACCTAAAGAACAGTTGTAATTTTGAGTTATCTCCAGCCCTCACCTGGAGATTGGCAATGATGATTCCCCAGAAGGGAATGGTTGGTTTGGAGGGTGGAGTCTATGGCTTTGTACCTGTCCGAGGTCCCATGCCTCCTGAAACCTCACCCTCTCCAGGCTCCATCCCTCACATCTCCAGGAATTTCCCACCTGGAGTTGGCAACCCTATCTCCTTCCCAGCCAATCATCAACCTACCTTTATTTCCCCCTCACTCTTCAGCTTTCCACCCTCCACACACCTGCAGCCTCTCCCGTGCTCTGAAGCCCTGACTGCTACGTCACATTGGCTGTCATACGGGGGCCACCTCAACAGCATATAAGGATACAGAGCCCACCATTTTCTCCAGGGGAACTGATCTCTTCCATTTGGAAAGCAGCTGTAATTCTGAGTGATCTCCAGCCCTCACCTGGAGATTGGACACATTTTACCTCAGAACAGCAAACTGTTTAGAATGTTAAAGGCAAAAGCCAATCAAGACGCATATGCAAACGACCTCTGTGTTCCGAGGCAAAGGCCAATGAGGCTGCATATGCAAATAACCTCTGTGTTCTGACTGGCTATGGGGGGGAGAGGAACAGCAAACTGTTTAGAATGTTGGAGGCGAGACTCAAGCAATGCAGCCAATGGATAGGGACAGATTCTGAGTGACACACCAGGGCGCCAACCAACTCCGGAGCGTGTGGAATGTTCTAGAGAAGTGCCACCACCATTCGGCTTTTATATATAAGGGAGATAACAAAGTAGATTTTAGACAGAAGTTTAGATTGGAAATATTTCGGGGTGCTTTGGGGCCCAAGGCCCTTTCCTTTATTTTTATTTTGTTGTTCTCTGCTTGGCTTTTATGGGTCACGCTAATGGCAATTCCTCCTTTTTAGAAATGTATTTGTTTTAAAGAGCAGGAGAACGATGCATGGGAGAGGAGAGAGAAAGCAAAGGGAGATGCGAAGATTAGGCTACGTCACAGGCTGAGGCTAAAGGTATACCTTGAAAAGGCCAGCTATGATTGTATGGGCTGTATTATGAAAGTTCTAAAGACCAGCAGTATAGGATTAAGACCAAGAGTTACAAATAAATAACTGCATTGAACACTAAGTCCTTCCTGAAAGTATAACAGGGCTACAGGCAAACAGCATGACCCAGCAGGCATCCTACAGCAGACAGAATGGCATGGAAATGTTCATTTCAGACATCAGGGTTGGGGAGAAAGCAAAAGACAGTGCCAATGTAGCTGTTGTTGTTTAAGGGCTGTTGTCCACATGGTACTTAGGGCCGGGTGAAGCAATATCCTTAGTAAGCTACCAGGTGGGATTCCAGCCAAAGCCTGTGGCCTGATTACCAGTGAGTTCCCAAATGTGAAGAGTGTCCCCATCCTGAACCTTCCACAGGGACTTTAAAATCCCTAGCAACTTAGACCATCAGCAGGAGATAGTGAAGGTGGTGACTAAGCCACCAGCTGGAGGGAAAGGTCAAAATCTCCAGCTTTCCTGGAGGCCTGCTTCTATATGAATCCTGCCAGACACAAATACTCTTTATCCTCTCATGATCTTTTACAAACACAGAACAAGGGCCAAAGCAGGTGCAGTTTGGCTCAATCCAGATCCTTCCAGTATTTTTAAATGGCAATAGCAGTTGTGTAGGGACTCCTCATTAGATCAGGGCTGTGGGTTGACAGTAGAGAGGGTTTTCCCTTTCCTTGTGGTTTCATTGATGCCCACAAGCTATTATTAGGCAGTAGAGAGGGTTTAAGCTTTCCCCTTTCCTTGTAGTTTCATTGATGCCCACAAGCTATTATTAGACCTGGCAGGGGGGGAAAGAAGAGAAAGTGTCTGTCTTTTTCTCCCTTTTAGGGATAACAACACTGGTAGGGGGCAGGGCATTTTCAATTGGTGAACCTATAGAAGCCAGGGCAGGTTCTCTCCTCGCCATCTCTCCCATACAGCTGCTGCTATTGTCCTTTTGCTGGGAAGATCTGGCCTTGAATCTCCTGGGCCCATGTCTATTTTAGCCCTAATGTTCTAGTAATGTGACCCTGTGAATGCTGTATATTCAGAAAGATGCACTGTCCCCTCCCCCGGTTCCCTACAGTATTCAGCCCTCTTCCCACACATTTAATTACTATGTTATATCCAACACATGATATCAGATCATGAGCTACTCATTGCAAAATAACTGAATGCAGATTTCCAGAGAACAGCAAGGAGAGATAAGGAGGCCTTCCTGAATGAACAGTGCAAAGTAATAGAGGGAAACAATAGAATGGGAAGGACTAGAGAGCTCTTCAAGAAAATTGGAGAAATCAAGGGAACTTTCTGTGCAAAGCTGGCCATGATAAAGGATAAAAACGGTAGGGACCTAACAGAAGCAGAAGAGATTAGGAAAAGATGGCAAGAATACACAGAACTATACAAGAAAGACCTCGATGTCCTTGACAACCATGATGGTATAATCACTG